GCCGCTCCGCAGCTGGGACAGTGCTCTCCTGCCCTCTGACCTGGAGGTCACTGTGAGGTGGATGCCTTGATTTTATTTCCTTTAGTTGATCAGAATGGAACAAGAAATTTTTTAAATGCACTCTGTTCTGCGACTCCCCAAATGCCTCTGAAGTTGGCTAGAATGAAGGACCCGAAAGTCACCGTTTCCAGAGCTGGAAGCCACCATGTCTCCGTGGGCTCCTCCCACCTGGTGGGCGAGACTGTGCTGTGGGGGCCTTGCCCCACTCCGCAGCAGCTGGTATCAAAGAGACTCTCCCCACCTCACTGACACCTGGGCCAGTCTGGAAGGGACAGAGCTGCCGTGGCCAAGTGCCGGGTGGACACGGTGCTCCTTCCTCTGCCACGGGGCTCAGCAGCAGCTTGTGATGGACCTGCACGGCCCTCGCCTGTGTCCTGTGGCCTTCGCTGTGGGTGTCACGCTGGCAGCAGCACAAAGTCATCATTGACGTCGACCATGGGCACATAGAAGGAGGGAACCTCGTTCACACACAGGGACTTGTGCCCGGCAGGGTCCAGCTCCTGCACCTTCAGCTGCCACTCCATCCTCTGCACAGCATTGAGGGCGGCGGCCTCGTGCTGCTGCCGCATCAGGAGGCAGGTCTGTGGACACAGGGCAGGTGAGGGCAGCAGAGGACCCCAGACTCCACCCGCCTGCCCAGCTCTCACCTGCCGGCAGGTTTGAGCACTTAAGAGGGCCGTGACCCACAGCACAGGGGCCTCGAGCTGAGCTCACCCATCACCTGCAAGGTCCAGGTCCTGCAGGACAGCTGTTGTGATACCTGGGGCCGTTTCCATCTGTCTACTTGGCAGTCATGCTGATCACATGGGGGATCTGTCTCCACCCTGCATTATGAGGCCCCCAACTGCTGACCAGAATCTCATAACAGCTTTGCTTCTACTGTTTTATATTATCTGTGGCCAGTGACACTGTTCTATCTGCGTTTATAGTAGAGACTATGGCACAAGGGAGGGCTAAATGAGATAGACACTTTGGGAACAAATGGGGAATCTGGGCCCAGGGAGTGAACTCTGCTGGGCAATGATCATGTCACAGCAGCTGTGTAGCAAACAGCCACTCACCTTCCAGAAGCAGTCATCTGCTATAAGCTGGGCTCTGTCTACTACTATTTTCTGCATATTCTCAGTTGCTAGACCATGGTCCTCACAGCTCTGACATCTTTCCAGGCCAGGCCCAACCCCAGTTAGTGTCTGAGATGATACCACCCCACTCAAATGACAGAATTGGTGATGGACCTCTGGGTTTCCAGACTAAAAATATTCACAGGAACAGTCTAGCATATATATCCCTAATTCTGAAATTTGATAGATACTGTCTACTTAACAAGACTCCACCAATCAACCCCTCTCCCAATCCTGCCCCAACCCAGACACCACCCATTAGGTGGTACATCTCTCGAGTCTGAAATTAATGATTATACAGAACAACTTTATTAAGGTTTGGCTATTTTATCTCCTTTGTGAAATGCCTTTTTATAAAAATTTTTTTGAGGCATGTTTCTATTTTTATAATAAAGTAAACTTATGGGGCATTTTTAATGTACAAAGTCTAATTTTAACTCAGTTAAAACTTGTTTTATAAAAAAATGCTTTTTCCCTGTATATTTATAAAGCTTCTAGTCAGTTGTTGCTTATGGCTGTTTAAAGAGGTATAAAGATAGAGCATCACTCACAACTGCCAGAGCCTGACGCAAGCCTGGTTTCACTCTAGAAGAAAGCACCTGCTTCCTGAGGGTGCTGGGAGTCCCCAAGATGGTCCTGCCCACACCACATGTGGCATGGCACCTGTCTACCACTCAGTTAAAAGACTCTAGTAAGGTTGTCCACTGGAAGTCCCTCACTCTCACAGATACATTGGAAGGGGGCAGGGGACTCCAGTCACTCTCCTTTCTCCAAGGAGGTGACAGTATATATGGGGGCACTGACTTCCTGACAGGAATTTGTAAGTTCCTGCTCTTAATCACTTCTCAGTGGATCCTCAGTGTCTCTGGTGTGGGACCCTTGCCCCTGAAGATGATGACTGACTTCTCACTCCCTCACTGGTCCATCTTCTCCCCACCCCAGTCTGGGCTGCTGGCCTGGTCAGCACTTTCTAGAGCAGTGGAAGGCACATGCTGTGACCTCTGAGGAGGGCTCAAGGTTGTGTCCCACAGCTGGTGGCAGGAGCCACTCCTCACCTACTAAATGGATGGGCAGGACCTGGGCTCCCCAAGAGCCTTAGCACCATGGACCCTGCCATGACCCCTAGAGGGACATGCACACCCACCTTCATGCGGTCGTACTTGTCGTCCACATCCTGAAGCCAGGAGATGAACTGGCGGGCATTGAACCGGTCCCGCACTGATTTGTTCTCATCACCCTGCAGGGTCAAACGGAAATGCGAGGTCAGGAAGGCCTATCACAGCCTGCCCTCCCTGACAGGCAGCAGCCAACACCCTGCAGGCGGCCAGGCCTGTCTCCCCTGGGAGGGGACAGAGAAGGTGCCATGGACTCTTATCTCCCCTCCACAGGCTCAAGGAGGAGCAGAGGGTTCAGCTGAAGCTGGTAATGTTACTCATTTTAATTTTTTCCCTTTTTAAAAATGGAAAGTAACTTTTCTTCCTTGAAAAGTACGTGTGAGACAGGGCAGCACCTGTGGCTCAAAGGAGTAGGGTGCTGGCCCCATATGCTGGAGGTGGCAGGTTTAAACCCAGCCCAGGCCAAAAGCTGCAAAAAAAAAAAAGTATATGTGAGGCCTGAGCAGCCTGGGCCGGCCTCCTAGTCCCTGCTGCTGCTCTGACTCATCCTCAGCACACACAGTCCCACCTTTGCCCTCATAGATACAGTTTGCAAACAGGGATCCCAGCTGCCCAGATGTCCTCACGAGGACAATGAGCAGTGGCCTCCCGGAGGTTTGGCATGACAATGCTGACATGGTTTCTGGGTGTTCCTGGAGTGTTAGGCGGCCAAGGCGTCCTAAGAAAAGCCACATCCATGGCTGCTCTTCTATGGGATGAGGGTCCAGTTCAACATCAAATGTGGGAGGGAAGGGCCATGGCCTAAGACCTCAGAAGTAACCCAGAAAATTAATTAAAAACTGGTAGATTCTTCACTTTAATGTAAAAAGCAAAACTTATAACTCACAGCAGCCTCCCAAGTAGCTGAGACTACAGGTGTCCGCCGTAATGCCCAGCTAGTTTTAGAGGTGGGGTCTTGCTCTAGCTCAGGCTGGTCTGGAACCCGTGAGCTCAGGCAGTCCACCCACTTTGACCTTCCAGGGTGCTAGGATTACAGGCGTGAACCACCTTGCCCCGCTTGCTTCTTTTGAGACAGAGTTTTACTCTGTTGCCCAGGCTACAGAACTATGGCATCACAGGTCATAGCACCCTCAAATTCCTGGCTTTAGGGACCCTCCTGCCTCAGCCTCCCAAGTAGCACAGATGTGTGCCACCTATCTGTCTTAATTTTTTTGTAGTTTTAGAAATGAGGTCTCGGCTCGGCGCCTGTGGTTCAAGTGGCTAAGG